CATTAAAGTCGGAATGTTAACATTAATGTCTTTAAATGACCGCGTTTGAACTTTCTCAGACATTTAACGTTACAGAAGTCTCCCGGAAGTTGCGGGACTAACGTTAACGTTATCCCGCAAATGCACAGAGACTCCCAGATGCCCAAGTAGATGCCCGCAAATGAATGATAATCTCCCGGAAATCGCGCGTCTCCCGCCCGGTCATTAAACACTTTGCACACCCCTCTCCACCGCATCCCTCCCAGCTCTTCAGGTACGTCGCGCGCAACTCATCCCATTGCTCTTCAGGTTCTCATCTCTCCCGCTACCTCCCGCTAATCAACTCTGTATCCCCCGAAAATTACTTTTCCCAACTCGGGGTGTCTGACGTTAGTAAGTTAGGCTATTTATGTAGTCAGGAACATCTTAGTCAAGCTTTTTTCTCCCGCATGATATTGTGCTTAAATCTATAGGCTAAACTTAGCATGCACTGTACACAACATTTCCTTTTTATTAAAGACAATTTAGTGCGTTGTAAGCAGCCACCTGTCTGTAAAATTAATCAACTGATTCATATTTGAGCAGCCTAATGATGATACAGTTTTGATTTGTAGATTTATTATCAATAATCAACATCTGAATCAAAAGATATCTGAAAAAGTGTGAGGCATACTTTGTGATGTTCATCTCTTCTTTTTATCTGAAGGTTATGCATATGTGTTAGATACTAATTTTTTGTTGTTTTTTTAACAGCCACAGTTCTCTATACAATAACACAAGACCCTGTGACGGTGGCTGATTAGAGACGGATGGTGTATTTCCAGAGTTGGTGAAATGACCAAGCACACCTTCTTGGTCATATGTGGTGATAATAATGAAGGTATGTTTGATAAAGTTCTGTATTTGTTTCACAATAAGCTGAGAGGGTATTAGAGCATTAGAGAATAACAAATGGCATGAAGGTGATAAGTTTTGTATTGTGGGTGAACTGTTACTTAAATAATGTTTTGCTCTTTACTTTGCACTTTTCCTCTTCTGCTTATCCTAATATTTTAGATTATATTTGGACCTGAAACATCTGCTAGACTCCAGTAAAGGTGGCGTCAATACTGGACCTGAAAGGGCCTAACAAGTTGAATCTGGTAAAGAAACATGCACGCACGCACGCACGCACACGCTTACAGAAAACTGTTGTTTATGAAGTTTATGAATATTTTTTACACTGTGGCCAATATTTTGGGGAAGTCAGCATCACTAAATGATATAAAAGATTTTAAGCTCCTCTAAATTTTGCTCCAAGTGTTGTGTTAAATTCAGGATTCTGGACAGCTGCCTGTTTTTCCAGTTCTAGTCATAGTGGTTAACCTAATTGTTTTTGGAGATTCCAACAGTGATTTATGTGTTTTTTTCTACTTTTCCATATCCTGTCACCTCAACCAGCTGGGAGAGTCAAGTTGTGGATCATCATGAAGATTTTCAAAAGGTGAGGTTAGATTTCTTGAATGTTTTATTTACTTTAAATGTTCTTTTAAATATATCATAGAATTTGATTGCAATTTGTTTTCAAACATTTTTCTTAGTCATGCTGGAGTCTTGAAGAGTTCTTAGATGAGCATCACCCTATATCCGTGTATCAGGAACCACCAGACGAGCGATCAGCAGCTGCTACATCGTCATGGATAAAAAGGTCATCCTGTGGCTGGGAAGCACTTCATTCACAGGACATGCTTGATGAGATTTCCTAGCTCCAGTTTGTTTTCACACAAGTTTACAGCATTTATACCTTCATTTAAACTGCTGTGTTTGATATGGAGGAACAAGGAAACACCAGAAGTGAAAGATTTGCACGCCAAGTTGTTTAAAATGTAATTTCAGAAGAAAACTATGAGTTCAGAAGTAAACTATGAGGGACGCTATATTGAACTTTCAAATTGCTCTGATAACACATCAAGTTTGGACCAAAGGACTGAAACAGCCTTTTTGAGCACTGGTCACATATTTTGTTGATACTGTCTGTACTAATAAAACATTTAAAGCATATTTGACATTGTTGCATTTTAAAAACTGAATGAATTGTTGAAGTTGTGAATGTTTTCAAATAAAATGTTTTTTCTTTTGTAATTTACAGTCTATTTTACCTTTTTACCATATTTACACTCAAGAGAGTTGAATAAAATAACAATATATTACACCAGGCAGTGTTAAATATAGTTACATTTTTTAACTCTGCCCAGAGTTAAAATTAACCCTTACTTCGGTGTCAATGTGCCAACCCTTTTGAAAGTGTTGATTTAACTCTGTTTTGAGTGGACCCCATGAGACACTTTCAAAGTGTTGAAATTAACACCCATAGAGTTGTTTTGGGTCCCCATATTTTGCTGTGTATCCGGATCTCACCATTTCCAGATGAGAAAAGCTCGCCGGTAAAAAAAAATGTTCCTTAGACACGTATTGTTGTCGAGTGTCGCATGCACTGTAATCCACACGTGAGTCAAGCTGTGCTCTCATAAAGAGAAAATGAAAACAAAACTTTAAACTTAAAAGCTTGTTTTGGCAACACAACATGGCATCTTTCTGCCATTTGAACACTGTAACTGGTCTTGAAAGCTATCATGCATATTAATAAAGTTGCACAATAGAGCACGCTGATTGGTTTGAACCAAGTGTTGAACCAACCAGGGCAAACTTTGAACAAAGTCTGTTTGAGGACTGTTATTAACCATTGAGTTTTATTCTACAGCTGTCAGTGGCTTCAAAAATGGTTTCCAGCAGTTTTTAAAATGTCAATGAAACCAGAAGTTAAAATTCATCAAATAAATAAGTTTAAAATACTCGATCAGCAGTACATTTAATCAACATCCCAAACAACGTCCACATCGTCCATATTGAGTGGCATTAAATAAATTAGATATGTGATGTATTATTTCCTCTCACGGATTTTAAGGGGGCACTTGTGGACTTCTATCAATTGCTGGAAGCCAAACTTGCATGGGCCAAAAGCGGAGGAACAATTTTGAGTGTGTAACCATACCTGATGACAATCATGTCACGTCGTTGGTAGTTTAAAGACGTGAACAATTTTGATTTTATTAGTCAGACTAACTAAACAAACTACTTTGTAAGGACTCAAAGTCCTTAATATAAAAATCTGAAACCTACAGACTTTCATAAATAACCTATAAAGTATTATGTAAAACATCTTTAAAAGCTACATTGTAAAAATCTAAAAATAAATAAATGTCATGTACCTGGCCATAAAAAGTTGTTTTAAATAATAACAAAATGATTAGATTGTTCTGTTTACAACTTTTTCCTTTTATAAAAAAGTAATATTGTGTGGAGTTTGCATGTTCTCCCAGTGTTGGCATGGGTTTCCTTCGGGTGCTACAGTTTCCTCCACTGTCCAATGACATGCGCTTGAGGTGAATTGGGTAAGCTAAATTGGCCTGTTGTATATGTGTGAATGAGTGTGTATGGGTGTTTTCTAGTGATGGGTTGCCGCTGGAAGGGCATCCGCTGTGTAAAACATATGCTGGATAAGTTGGCGGTTCATTCCGCTGTGGCAACCCCTTATTATTAAAGGGACTAAGCCGAAAAAATGAATGAATACATTTTATGTTATGTTATGTGTTTGGTTAATATTGTGAACAAATTCTGGTTAAATGTAAGCAGGGCTTTACATTAACACCCGCCAAATGCGGGTAGATTTCAACTTTGGCGGGTAAGACAGCCGCTCCTTTGCCACTTTGGAAAGGTTGGAAATAATTGTTACATTGTAGTTTACTTAAAGCAGGTTTCGACAATAAGGATGGCCCAATATACTTGCAATTGTGATCTTAGAATCGAGAAACAGCACGACTGACAACAATAACTGTGTTCGTACAGGTAATGTGATGTTTTGCTCCCGTTTACTTGCGCTTTTTTTCTGTTCACTTGCTATCGGTTCTATTTGAAAAAGACTAGACAAAAAACGATGCTCGTGTACCCACAGTCCTGCTGCTTTTAAGAGCGCAAGATTGAAAAATATATATGTTTGTAAGCAACAGCAGCAGTCACTGCTTTTGTTTTAATTATTCTCAGGCACGTGATCATCCTTTCATTATCACTCGTAGTATGTTTTTACTTGCTTTTGTTTGCTTACAGTTATTTTTGTTAATGTAGTTTAATTATCATCCCTTACAATAATATTTTTTAATATTAGATTAATATTAATTAGATTAATATTAGAATAAAGATTAACCAACCATTTGTGTGTAGTAACTGCTGATCTGGGACAACACAACATCTAAATCAAGTCATTTTAGCATGTCAAAGTCACATTTATTTATATAAAATATATTTTCCAAACAACAAATTGTGGCTAGTGAAAATGGCAAGTGGCTAGTAATGTTGGAAATCTACTAGCCCTGAATGTAAGTGCATTCATTGTTTATTTAAATCACATCGTGATTTTGCCTCAGTACATCTTTGGCCCCAGTCTCTTTTATTTCATCCCTAAATTACATGAAAATGAGGGGTACATTTTGAGTAAAAAACAAACACTAAGGGAATGTTGAGATTGCTTTACCATGATTTGTTTAATATTTATTGTATAATAATGTAAGTTCTGTCTAAACACTGTAAAAATATATCTGTTAATTCATAATTTCCGAATTTAGTGTTTTGCATGTATTTACAGTTGTGAGTAGCATTGAGATGTTGTGCTCTGCTCTGTCGACTTTTGATGTTGAATATTTAACTCTGCTGTTTAACAAAGTGACTTCTTACGTTTTAGTAGTTTGAGACAAGATATTGTTTAAGAAATAATATATAAAGAACTAAATAACAGAAAATGTACTGGCAGCATATTACCATGATTTTTGCAGCATCATATACAACACCAACCCAGACGATATATCACTGCAAACTATTAAAAATGTTTATAAAAGTCACTTTTTCAAACTTTTCAAGGTTAAAAGCTGTTGGAAGGAAAAAATGAGAAAAAAAAAACAAAAACAAGAATGACAAAATAGAAAACTCAATTTACAGATATTTTACAGTATATAATGCACACACTGAGGAAGGCATTGAAAAAATATATATACAAAGCAATTATTTAATGAGTGCGAATAATGACCTTCTGAATAATATTATTGACAAGATTAATGCACCAAAATAGTTTTCAAAACCATGAGCATGCAGGGCAAACTTCATTACTTAAAGTAAATAATAGTCTTACAAAAATATTGTGAGATACCTGTAGTCTTTTTTTTATTGAACCTATGATATTCAGTTGTATTTAAAAATGCAAAACATTTGAGCATACAGTATTCAAAACATAAAAACAATAGCATTGTATATAGTAATGTCATCAAAATGAGGGTCAACATTTATTTTAGATATGGGAATATGATTTTCCGTTTCAGAAGCTTTTTCACAGACACCATGAACTCCTCTGTTTTGAACGTGTAGATGATAGGGTTAAGCATTGGAGGCAGGGCAGAGGTCAGAGAGAGATTAATGATCCTTGTGTTGGTGTTTATAATGGATGCCAGAGAATATGTAATAGTGATGGGAAGGTAAAATACAGCCACTAATATTAAATGAGCAGTGCATGTCTTTGTGGCTCTCTGACGGTCTTGTGGAGTTGTGACTCTGAACAGTGTCACAGCTATGCAAGTATATGAAAAGATGATGAAAAACACTGGCAACCCAAGAATCACTATTGGGTACAAACTGCCTATGACAGAGCTTGGAAAATTATTGCTACAGGCAGAGCGATATATCGGCCCATGATCACAGTAGAAACTGTTCACAGTGACAATTACTTTGCAGAAAGAAAGTCTGCTTATAAAAATAGTTGCAGTCATTACCATAAGCAATGTCAGTGCCCATGTCAGTCCAATTATTACAAGCATCGATCTAAAGGTCACGATCATATGATATCTCAGTGGTAAGCAAATAGCTACTAATCTGTCAAAAGACAGAACAGCAAGAGTTAGTGACTGTGTTGAAATAGATACAAAGACAGAAAACATATTATACAAACACAATCTATACGGGATCAACTGATTTCTAAACAGAAAAGTGTCCAGTAGCTGAGGGATTACAGCTGTACTCTCGCAAATGTCTGACAGTGATAAATTAAAGACAGCAATATATTTAGCAGTGTGAAGATTACGGTCTATGATAATGACAAACATGAGACAGGAGTTTCCAAGGAAAGAAATAATGTAAACAAAAGACAAGAATATGTAATAGTATCTCATGTGAGGTATACCAGAAAAACCACTGATGTAGAAGTAAGACGGAATAGAAATATTCCTGTTTTCGGCGAAATCATTCATGTTCACTCTGTGATCTTGTGGTTATCTTGTCTGCATAGAAAAGCAGTATGTTATTCAGTGTGCTAGGACATTTATATGTAACAACAAATACTAGATGGATATTAAAACCTCAGAAAAAAGTTTTATGTTTTTTATAGCAATTATACAGTACTATACATTATTTATAAAACATTCCATTAAATTCAAAAGTTTTCAAAAGATTTTTCTGAAAAACAAGACGTCATGATTAATTGGATAATGTGTCTTGTTTTAAGAATCTATACATATAGAATACATACATACTTATATACATACATACATATTTTGTGATGGGAAAACAAGAAATACTAAACTAGAATGTCATATTCCACGATAATAAGTGCTGTTAATACAATGGCTAAGTTATACTTACAGAATTGATGAGCACTTTACAGGTGATGAGCAGTACAATAGAGTGTGATGGTTTATTCAAGCTTCTACAAGCACAAATACCTGTAAAAAAACACACATACCTGAGCTGACACATTCTGAGCTATATATCCTCAGACACAAATGCCAGACTGTACAGACCTGTCAGTCGACCAATCACAGCTCAGAACTCACATGATACTAACCAGTCTACAGTGATGCTGTAATTGAAGCCAGCCCTAAACCTAGAATAAATGTATGAAAGCCATATAAATCCAATTTTATTTTTGGTGTTGGGCCACATTTAACATGGGGTTATATTTAAGGTTTAATTTTTTCCCCTCCCTCATGCCATTCCAGTCAAGTATTAAAATTTACAAAATTCTTTTATCTAAATAAAAGCTGAAATTAAACTGGTTCCTCTGAAATGGTTTTGTCTCTTCAGAATAATTGGATTAAATAAAGTATTAAACTAAATAAGATTAATTTCATGTATTCATTTTCTTTTCGGCTTAGTCCCTTTTTTAATCTGGGGGTGCCACAGCGGAATGAACTGCCAACTCATCCTGCATATGTTTTTACGCAGCGGTTGCCCTTCCAGCTGCAACCCATCACTGGGAAATACCCACACACTTACATACACTACGGCCAATTCAGCTAATTCAATTCACCTGTACCACATGTTTTTTTTTTTAAATAATCCCTTATTGAATGTTCTGAAGAGTTATGTCTAGTTCAGACTGCGTGATTTTAGCCCCGATTTTGGTTCGCCGACAGGTTTTGAGAAATCGCTGACAAATGCCTGAAATCATAGGCAAATCGCTGCTCGTGCACGTGAGTGAAAATCACACAGTATGAACTTTCAAAGACGCGATCTGAGATAATCGCCGATGAGTCGCCGATGCCTGCGAGATATTTGGCGTGCTAAATATCTGGAGCTGTCGGCGATTCAAATCATGCAGTGTGAATTGAGTTTTGACTGAAAATAACATCAGCCATCGCCTACAGCCAATGAGAGAGCAGCTTTCACTTGTGTGTGCGTGTGTGTATACCTGCTGCTGGCCAGCGGGAGGCTGGGGGAAAAGTTAAAAGCGCTCTTTTTCGGTTTATTTGGACCCACGAAAGGGAGGAAAAACTAGTGGAGGTTTGACAGGACTCAGGAGCAACCGTGTCTGTTTGACGTTTCATACAGAAAGAAATTAGTTTATTATCAACGTTGAGGAGAAATGGCTAATTCAGGTGAGCAAACATGTACATGTTCTACCCCATTAAAGGCTTCTTTCTCATTATGTAGTTAATAACAAAATATATACTACGTGTTTTTGGCTGTGAGACGTATTTTGGACGAAGTTGTCTGCGATTCTTCCCATAGTAAAGTCATGCAATGTAAATGTCCCTGTCGCCGATCCATCTTGCAGTGTAAAAGCAACCACGAAACGCTAGCCCAGATAGTCATGCAGTGTGAAAACATCTGTGACACGACTACTTTGAAAATCATGCAGTCTGAACTCGGCATTAGTTAACTCAGTTTTTAAATGCACAAACTAAGCACAACCGAACAAGACTATTTTGAATCCATTTGGGGCTTGTTGGGGGGCTGATGACTAAATAATCTATAATTCAATGTGTAATATTTTAACAACAGAAACAGCACAAACGGAACTTTCACCGGCAAAAACGAACAAACTACTTTGGTTAAATTTGGAGCTTGTTGGGGGCTGTTGATGTCATCTCCCATAATTAAACGTGTAATATTTTAATAGCGGAAACAGCACAAACAGAACTTTTACCGGCAAAAACCAGCACAAAGCAACAAGACTTTCACCAAAAAAAATTTTGGGTGAATTTTAAGCATGTGGGGGGTATGCCTGACCACTGAATGACCTACAAATATTATTTTATTATTTAAAAAAACAAAAAATCACAAACTAATATTATTGCAGCACAAACAGACCACAAATGAACGGGACTATTTTGCTAACGTTTTGTGTTGGGTGGGGGGCCAATATGTGGGAATCGACTTTCAATGGAAAAACAAATCTCTCAGATTTAATTAAAAATATATTTATTTGTTTTAATGATAAATTAAAGTCTTATGTTTTTGGAAATGGAATGATACAAGGGTGAGTACATGGGAAAAGCATTTTTATTTTGAAGTATACTACTTTATCACAGTAAAATTTAACAATCGAATTGAATCACATTGACTCCTTGGTTCACTTAATTTAAATATTACTGTACTTCACAGACATTGTGTAATTTATTAAAAATGTACACAAACTCTATCTAATTGACTGACTCATTGACATCTACCTGGACTGAATCGTTGCAGATTGCTAGTTCAAAGTAAAATCAGTTGTTATTTTGTGTCTATACAGAACTTTAATATACTGTAGATCTAGATATGTCAGTTTTATTTATTCATTTTTTTTTGTTTGTTTTTTTGTTTGAATGTCCATTGGTTTCTGTTGTAATTTTGCAAGGATACTATTATAGGATACTTTTAAGAGTAGAGCCTATGTTTAGATTAAGGATGAGCTTCAACGCTAATAAATAATTATTAAATTAGTACATTTTAGTGTGCTATTTGTAAGAGTTGCTCATAAAGGTCTGAGAGTATGCAATATACCACTTAAATTGTAATTAACATGTTTTTGTAATAAAAAAAAAATACAGTTTGACCTCTCGTCTGTATTTTGACCACGTTTATAGGATTACATTTATGCTCCCCTTTTTGACCATTGCCTGTTTGACCTTGCCTTTAATAAACTGTATTTAGATCCACACGTCTGTTGTCAGCATCCGATTCATAACAATACATTAAGTTGTCGGCCATGTAATTGTATGCTTGTGTACGTGTGGTCCTGCATTCTGCCATAGTTATTTTGGTTGTCATATACTCACACATTCCTGTAGACTAAACATGTTTTATGCATGCACATGATAAGTTCAATTATGTATGTAGTTTTTGGGCTTCATTGGCTTTTGCAAGAGGAGATACTTTTTCAGAAGATGTTTAAACAGTGTAAACAAAAATGTCTCAATTATGGACTAGGGTTGTATCATAAAATACAGACGAAAAATTGTCTCCCTCTCTCTCATTGTCATGTACTGTATACTGTAGCAATTAGGGATGCTCTGATCAATCTGCTGAATATAGGTATCAGTCGATAATCACATTTCATGACTTAATTGGTTCTCGTTGATCTGGCCAATCTCATGAAACAATCGCAAGTGGTTGTTTACAAGCAGAGGAGGATGCATCTGGGTTATGCATAAGTAGGGCCAGACGGAATCTGCGGACATTTTTTGCTATTTCTGCGCAGAATTGTGTTAAAAATTTGCTGATTTATGCAGAATGATTCAGTATGATCATAACTAAAATCTTAATATATTAAATAAAAAGTAATAACTTTTTAACTTGTATTTATTGTTTACAATGAAAATCCAATGAGATCCACTGTATTTGGTAAACAAAGCAAGTCTTTCGTATAATAGATCTACTAAAAGACAGAAAATATTACTTTACAAACTGTATTGCAAAAAATCATATGAATATTTCCATATTATTTAAAAATATTACTATAATTTAAAAACTGAATAAACATAAATTTACACAAGTAAATAAACAGAATCAGTGGTGGGCAAAAAATCTGCAGAATTCTGCGCTCGCATATTTCGTGTGTGCTTATGCATCAGCAGCACTACAACACATGAGCAATGTTTCCAAATTGCATTATTAGTAATTTTTCTCACCATTTTTTAATCTGTTTTATCTATTTTCATTTTGTAAAGCTGCTTCTGACCATTACATGTATGCAACATTCTTACTTTATTATCTTAGGTAATGCGAGATCTTATACTTAAAGTGTAATTGTGCTTATGCAATGGCAAAGTTATATAAAAAGCTTGAAGAATCAGAATTAGTACTCAGTATCGGTTGATCACCATGACAAGGAATCAGTATTCTGTATCTGCAGTATCTTCTGTATTCTGTAGCTGCAAAAATCCTGAACGTAACATCCCTGGTAGCAATCATAATGAGGCTAAGATGTTAAACAAATGCAACTATTCTAATTCAAAGATTGACAAAACAATATCTTTGGATAGCTAATTTCTCAATAACACAAACATTTTTACATGCATTATTATTAAGACATTGCTCAAATTTGATGACAGTTCAATTCATCTTTATTTGTATAGCACTTTTACAAAGTAGATTGTTGTCAAAGCAGCTTCACATAGAACGGTGTCCGTTCAGTTTCAAGAAAACATTCAGATACAAAGATAAGTTCTGAACATTATGTAGTATGCTATGCTACTACAATGTCATTGCAAAAATGTATAATGTATGTGTCACTATGCATGCCGGGAGTAATAGACTTTTGTTTTCATTTCGTCATGATGCTTTTTATTTAATGTTCACCATTGTTGAACTTCATGTTTTTGATATGTGTGCAAAAAATACCTGCACTTTTTGCAAATTATGCATCTCACTGATACCCTTTAAATGATTATTGATACCTGTCAACTTAAAAAAAAAAAAAAATGCCACCCTGGGGTTATTTGACCTTGGATTCCTAATATCTTAAAAATAGTGAATATCTGATATGAAAGAATAAAGGTTTGCAACTTGAACTTATTAATTTTATTCATCCGTTGTTATTTGACCATTGAGCGTAATTGTTTAAGCGAAATATGTTTATTTCCAGGACGGGAATATGTTTCTTCTTTTAAAAAGTCTTTTTACAGCCACCATAAACTCCTATGTCATGAATGTGTAGATAATAGGGTTAAGCATTGGAGGAAGGGCAGAGGTCAGCGAGAGATTAATGATCCTTGTATTAGTGTCAATAAAAGACCAAAATGCATATGTAAAAGTGATAGGCAAATAAAACACAGCCACTAATATTAAATGAGCAGTGCATGTCTTTGTGGCTCTCTGACGGTCTTGTGGAGTTGTGATTCTGAACAGTGTCACAGCTATGCAAGTATATGAAAAGATGATAAAAAATGCTGGGAACCCGAGAATGATTGCAGGAAACAAACTAGCTATCACAGAGCTTGGGAAATTATTGTTACAGGCAGAGCGATATATCGGCCCATGATCACAGTAGAAACTGTTCACAGTGACAATTACTTTGCAAAAAGAAAGTCTGCTCATGAAAATGGCTCCAATGATCGTTAGCAACAGTGCTAGAGTCCATAATGCGCCAATTATAAAAAACATTAACCTATGGGTTACAATCATATGATATCTTAATGGTAAAGAAATCGCCACTAATCTGTCAAAAGACAGAACAGTTAGAGTTAACGACTGCATTGCAAGAAATGACAAAACAGAGAACATGCTGGACATACACAATCCATATGGCATCAGCTGATTAACAAACAAAAAAGTGTCCAGTAGCTGAGGGATTACAGCTGTACTTTCACAAATGTCTGTCAGTGATAAATTAAATACTGCAATATATTTAGGGGTGTGAAGGTTTCGATCCATAATGATAACAGACATGAGGCAAGAATTTCCAAGCACAGTAATAATGTAGATGAAAAAGAGAAATATGTAATAGTATCTCATGTGAGGTATACCAGAAAAACCACTGATGTAAAAATAAGATGGAGTGGAAACATTCCCATTTCCAACAAAATCTTGATTCATGGTCAGTTTGCTTGCTGCTCCAGCATTCACACGATCTGGTTAGAAAAGCACAAATTGAGTTATATTAAATGTTACAAGGGCATATTCAACTTTATGATCATTTTCATATTATGAAAAAAGTACTAAAAAAACAAAAGTACTAAAAAAAATTTTTGTACTAAAAAAGGCCTAATATTCGATACATTCTATATTGTAAAACACTCTTACAAGCATGCACAAAAAAACAAAATGCTTCTTAGTTATATTGAAATCCCATATTCATGTAAAAAGTTCTATATTCTCCAAATGCACAGTGTATAACTCGCACACATTCCCAAAAACAAATTTCCGTTACATTAAACTTACATTTTTCATATATGCAAGATTTGAAGATGATGCTACAATGCTGTTTAGGTATGATATGCAAAAAGAAAGGAGGTGAGCAGCACAAACAAATACTAGAAAGAGTTGTTCTTGTTTATAGACAGATGGTTCTGTAAAAAGACTGTGACCTGTGACATTCTGAGTTATATATACCACTATATGTAGTGTAATACCTTGCCTCTCCAGACTTTTCAGCTGGCCAATCGTGGCACTGGCAGCATATTCTGCTACATCAACTGCTAATTCATATAGAGAAACCTGTCCTGTTACTTAATCATGTCTAATAATATTAGCTATAAAATGAGCCCCTTACTTTATACTGTATACACCCAAAGCTGTTCTTCAAGCATTTAGTTTCTTCTGTCCTCCTTGAGTGTCAAGACAGTGCTTTTACTCCACTGAGTCATTAGGATCCACACGGATCGCAATGTCAGAACTTCTTGCTGGTCTTACAACACAAGGTTTTCCTTTGCTACTTAGGTTTCCCCAGTTCGCCCTTTTAGAGACTGACCAGGCGCCTGTACCATGAAGCTGAATTAGCTTTAGATTCAGTGTAGTTTGTATCAATCTTGGGTGTTAGGCAACATGAAAGCAGGCAGCTTGACTTTATTTACTCTTTGTTGCCATGGTATTTTGGAGCGGCTGAGATGTGCTGAGCTACCTTCGTGATACCTCAAACCCAGAATTGGTGCAAACTATGCCGAAACCTAACTGGCTATCCAGCTAATCTGGCTTTACGATACAGGCCCAGAGGCTTAAACTTGCTTGGCTTCAGTGGTCAATCAGGCTATCAGGTGAAATGGCCATGGTATTTGGACAATTGATTGTTTTGCGAATTGTTATTGTGAGAAAGCACACCAAAACAATTGCTGTTTCTCAATATGCATTCTTCAGTGATCTTGCGTCCTTGTGTTCTTGTGTAACGTCATCATCAACCATCAAAGTTCAGTTCCAAAACTCAAGAACGAAGGATGCGTGAGTTTCTGCATGTCTTCTTGGTATCGAGGATGCACCGATGCAGACTTGGGTACCGTACTCGCTCGAGAAGCTCCAGAAGTCATTGCGACTGAACAAAGGAGTCTCAGGAGTTTCCCTAAATGAGACTGTAAAAAAGTAAATATTAACATGAAAAACTTAATAGAGGCATAAGCACATTAAGGGTGTTTATTTGCTGAAATTCATATAAAAATCTGTTTTATTTGTATTGTGCTAAGTATATTTGTATGGTTTTTGTGCATGTTGTTTATATTGAAATATATAATACGCAGCATCTCATTTCTCAGAGGTCGCATTCTGTGTTCTTGTGCTCTCTCAAATTCGTTCTTTCGAGGTGACCTGGCAAGACAGGTCTTCATAAGACCGCAAGTCCGTTCTCTGCGTTCTTGGAATTTCTAAACAGCCAATGTACTCATACTTTGCTGCATTCTACCAAAACTCACAAATTTTGATCAAATTGATATGTTCTTGTTATGATTAAATGGTCACAAGGCTCACTAGAGGGCACTTCATCCATCCTGAACCACTGCTATTCACCTGGACTACATTTCCCACTATGCATTTCATCAAATCACTCAATGACAGCTGTTGCACATTTCATTGCAATCTTCTGAAATATTTAAGAACCACTCATTCACATACTCATGACTAGGGCCAGACGGAATATGCAGACATTTTTTCTATTTCTGCACAGAATTGTATTTAAAATTTGAGGATTTATGCAGTTATTTTGGGAGTATCTTAACTAAAACCTTAATAAATAAAATAAAAAGTAATACATTTTTAACTTTTATTGAATGTTTACAATGCAAATCCATCTAGATACACTTTATTTGGTAAACAAAGCAAGTCTCATATCTACTAAAAGGCAGAAAATATGACTTCACAAACTGTATTGTAACTAAATCATATGAATATTTTCACATTAGTCAATAATATTACTGTATTTAATTTAAAGATGGAATAAATACAAATTTACACAACATTTACACAAGTAAAAAAACAAAGTAAATTATGGGCAAAAAATCTGCGGAATTCCGCGAACACAGATTCCTTATGAGCCTACTCATGACTCTTGTATCAGCATTATGAACTTCTCTAAGTGTTTTTTTATGTTTTGCCTAGTTTTTTTTTTTTTTTGTTTTTTTTTTTTTTGGTTAACCTTGGACAGTTTTTTGTATTGTATGATTGTTTGGTGACTGGCCTGGCCTGACCTTTTGTCTGTATTGGTGGATTACTCTCTTGGATTAATTGTCACTAGTGTTTGCTCATGTTTTGAACTTGAAACTTCAACTCAGTTGTTACTCGTTTATAACTATCCAGATCTTTTCTTTTTCTTGCCTTCTTTTGTCCATGTCGTTACTGTAGCTGCTTAACATGAATTAATTCATTCAAAATTACTGAGCACATCTGCTAAAGTGATGTAGAGTATGACAAAAATATAATATTTAATAAGTTTTAAATAAATTATGCTTTTACAGAGCAGTCAAAGTTAACTTGAAATTGCAAAAAACATGACAAACATTTGCACATTAAAAGTGTGTAGTTCACAATGTTTTTTTTTTTTTTTTTTTGCTGAAGAATTAGTTCAATGTATTTTAAATTGATTTTCTGGTTTTTAATTGCATTAGTTTAAAGTTTTACACAGTATTCTGTGGCTGTAAAACCATATGTTATGCTGCCAAATTCATTAGAGTAATATTGCAGAAATTACAATTTGGCTAAAAAGCTTGTGTTTTTGTAAAATGTGTGCATTTAGTTCATTTAGGTTTTGGTCATCCATCAAAATAGTTGATTTCTTTAGTCTTTCATGTTATGTGTGCATTCACAAGTCTGTCTGTATGTGTGCTAAGGATGTGTAGTAATTAACAAATGTTGCATCATCTAACTCTAAGGTGTCTTTTCCAAAGGATAATTACAAAATGTCTTAATTATCCTACTAATAGCTCTGTGTTTGCTCAGGAAAAACTGCGGAGAGTTTCATGAGGTACCTGGGAGATTTCTGCCTGGTGTCTCGAAGCTCATTAGTGTGAAGCAACAGTGAAAAAAAACAAGTGTAATGTGACTTGTAGTGCACCCACGAGAGAACATTCACAGAGGGCAGAGGTCACGTTGAACTTTACATGAAAAACACTTGTACATTAAAAACAAAGATAATTTTTTGGTCTTGGTCACAGCCATGGAAAGGTAATTTAAAATTTTACTAGTCTCATGCCCCTTTTTCCTCAATCTCCTTATGATGGTGGCTCTAAAAAGGGTTTTTAATGTTCGAGAAACATGAATTTCACATGAAGAATTTATTTATATGTAATCTAACAGTGTAATGGAACCTGCCACTTCTGAATTATATATATATAATATTAATTAAACAATATTATATGAAATACAAATACACTTCACTCCACTACAACTGGTTCAACTTAAATAATTTATTATCTATATATAAATAATACAAACAAACACTTTTTTGTTACAAGAAAATTTGTCCTAAGCCCATAAATCATACATTTTAATATAATCCACATATAGTGTATCTTACACATTCAGTTCTAAATCCAATTATTAAGAGGAATTATAAATTCTGTCTGTTTTTATAGGAGGCAAATATTCTTAACAGTAACATTTTTTTTCTCCTTAAACTAAAATACTAGTTTATCTAAGGACATTTTACACTTAATTATATAATTATTTAGTGTTTAATTATTTAATTAACTTTTTAATCGACTATATATTATTATTTACTTTTAATATTTTGAACACGTCTTTCAATTCATTAGCCAAATAATCAGAATATGCAGGACAAATTACATAAAAGTTGGGTATGTGGTATGTACATTATATTTACATTTTGTATTACTACATCCACATGTAAATCAATTGTCTGTCTGTTTGTGTGTGAGTAATTACAGTCATTATCTTAGTGACTTACAGCCTTAGTAACTTAGAAACACTACCAGGGCCTTCCAATGAGACATTTCAATGTGTTAATGTTGTTGTTCCATGAACCTTTTATTCTTGTTGTCAAACTATTTTAATAACTGTAACGAGGCAGTTCAATCATAACTTAATGTTAAAACAGCTATCATAACATGATCAATATGTGGCTCTTTTTGGATTCTCAGAAGCTATATATATATATATATATATATATATAGCTTCTGAGAATCCAAAAAGAGCCACATATTGATCATGTTATGATAGCTATGATATATATATAACAGGAAAGGAAAGGCGTTGGGCCCATTGTTTATATATATATATATATATATATATATATATATATATATATATATATAGCTTCTGTGAATCCAAAAAGAGCCACATATTGATCATGTTATGATAGCTATGATATATATATAACAGGAAAGGAAAGGCGTTGGGACCATTGTTTATATATATATATATATATATATATATATATATATATATATATATATAGCTTCTGTGAATCCAAAAAGAGCCACATATTGATCATGTTATGATAGCTATGATATATATAGAACAGGAAAGGAAAGGCGTTGGGACCATTGTTTTTGTTTACATCCCTATTAATGGTTTATATTCGGTTTAAATAAAATATATTACATTTCTAAATAAATGTGTGATTATAAATGATCATAAAATATTAGTTTTTATTATATTAGTTTAATATAATATGGAGAGAATTTTCTGTGCATGCTGTGCATGTTTACTTTGCTAAGCTTAATTGATCACGGCTGCTAGGAAACCATGACGCATTTCTTACACTATAAAAAGCACGTATAAAGGGTATGATTTTATTAAAATGTTAATCAGGATGAAAGGATCATCTCAGACAATTTTTTATTTCATGTTTTAAGTACACCAATTGCAGAGTAAGGACCTAAAGAGGACAAAACGTTTTTTTTCATTAAGAATTAAGAATTTTTCATTAAGAATGCATGAAACTCTTTTTGTACTTTTATTAAAACTTTACTTCAATTTACACAGTTTTCAACACCTATGTACTACAGAGACTGTGTGCATTTTTCTGCCATATTCCTTCATTGACACTTTATTTCTGTGTATGTATGAGTATGTTGATGGTCTGATTGACTTAGTTTTTTCAACTATACTGAATATGTTTTAAAATATTTAACTCCATATTTT